AAGTCAGAATCAGACTCATAATATACCGTTTCGAAGGTATCGAAACAAGGATTCTAAATATATAATTTTCATAACATAAAAACAAAGCATGTAAGACCAACATGCAGTCAAAGTTACAAAAAATTAAATATGAATCTCTATTTTTCTCAAAATCCAATCGTTGGATTTTTATGAAACTTGGCAGATATATTCTGCATGAAATATACTACAACAAATGTAAATTTCATGTTGATCGGAGAAAGTTCAGAAAAATATTAATTTTTCATGCATATATCATGTGTGTATATATATATATAATTATATACATAGTTTAATGCACAAAAAACAAGCACGAAATACCCATTTAAGGCTCTGATACCAATGTAAGATATATATAATGCAGCTGGTAAAGGGATTTAAACCATACCTTGCGTGATAGAATCCGAAACGAAGAACCTTGTAGGTATATCACGTGCTTCTTTAAACTAAGAACACCTAGTAATAGGGTGATGCCACAGTATGAGTATTACCCACTCTAATTACAATACAAAGGCTAGATCGTTCTCTGATATGGAAGAGAGTTAGAAAGAGCATATGGGAAAAATGTTATGGGTAAAAACCATATAACGTATCTGATATTCATTATATTCAAATATATAATCAAATATATAACTATATATATCCATCTATCCATATCTCCTAAGAATAGGATAGATGTAGATAGATAGAGGGTTTATCTTAACAAATAGGATAATCAGGAAATCAAATTCAAATTATATGGGTAATTTGAGTGGGCCATGGGTCATGCCACATGGGCACCCAAATTCGGGTCCAATACCCAGTCCAATTTCCAACAGCTTCCACAATAGAAAAAAAAAAAAAAACTCCACAGAGCTATGAACAAAGAACAGAAAAAAAATAATCCTCTTTAATTTATAAGACCAAGCAATTACACATACACGATTGAGGCCCCAAAAGCCCCTTATGTGAAGATGGCCTGCTTCAATAATCTCAGCACTCTCTAATGTTGTGTTTGGTTGGGAGAATTAGGAAGGCATTTGAAAGGAAAAGGAAAAGGAAAAAAGTGTGTCAAACTATGTAAAATATAGGTATATTTTACTCACATTTCACTTACATTTTTCATTTCTCTTTCTAAATTTCCTAACCAAACATAGTGTAAGAGCAACAAATTCTAGAAGTAAGATGCATAATCTAACTCTAGTTTTATGGGTGTTCGGTTATTTTAAGGTGTTTGATGTTTGAAGGTGTTTAAATTTTGAAAGATATCTATGGTTGCCTGTGATTTTGTTGATATTTAATAAGTTTGAGAAGATATTTTTGAGATACATAAAAAGTAGAAAACATGGAAAAAATTTCACACTTTTATAATAGCAGTAGATATTTTCAGTAAATTTTTCACTTTGCTAATAAAAAAAATAGAGTTGATAGTTTTTCAAAGATGATACCAATTCCAAAGAGTTAGCATCGTTTGCAATATTGTAGTGGAAAAAAAAAAAGGAAGGAAAAGAAAAATTGAGAGAATAAGTGCAAATAAGAGCATCTCCAACAAGGATTCGTACTCTTTGTTCAAAATAGTGTCAAAAAGTAGGTTTTGTATTTTTAGAGATCTATTTTTAAACTCTTTCATCTAATAATACTCTCTATTCTTCCTCTGTTTTATTTAAATATTATTTTTTATTATTTTTCCATATTTTCAAATCATTCACAGGTGAAGAAAGGTTTTAGACAATAGATTCTTTGGCCATAAAATAATTTTATAATTTTTTGAGATTCGACAATTGCTCACCATAAATAGGGAGTAACTGTAGCCGTTCCTATTTTAGGGGATGGGGTTAAGGAAGCTATTGGAATAGTTTTACTGTTGTGAACTGAAAATATCCAAAAAAGAGGAATTGGGCTCTACTGGAGATGCTCTAACAAAAATAAGAGGGTAAAAATAATCTAATGAAAGTAATTAGCAAATTTGAATGTTACTGAACTCCTTCCAGCGTAACCTGATATTATCATGTAGGGTGTTAGTAGTTATTGTTCAATAGCCAATTCGAGTGAACTTTGCTTTGGAAAGTTAGTTAAAAGTTAATTTTTTAACTTTTTAAACTTTTTTTTGAAAAAATATATAAAAAAGTAAAGTGATGATATGACTCAAAATATGTTAAAAATTGACTTTTAACTTTTAACCAAGTTCTTGAGTTGAACCTAAATTGTCGTGGCAACATAAAAACAAGTCGTGGCATTATCTACTTTTAGTTTAGATGAGTATGCTTCGTTCTCGACGAAGATAGATTATCCCCAATTGTCATTGAATGAATCCTTTTGATAGAGTCATTGGAGTTTATGACCAAGAGTCATGATTATACTAGGATAAATTATGATAATACTCTCTAAATTTTGGTCACTATCATTTTATTTTATGTAATTTTAATTGATTCAATTTTTATTTTAAATTTATGATTTTGTCTTAATTTAGTCTAACTGAATACAACTGTTAGCATTTTTTAATGGAAAATATACACATAAGTGGCATGTGTCATTTTTTGAAGCAAAATTATAAGTTTACTTAACTCAATGAGTTAATTTCAAGCAATTCAATGATCAACTTTTTAATCGAAAACACTGATGTGTTATTAATTAGATTAAATTGACACAAAATTTAAAATTAATGATCAAATTTGAGTCAATTGAAAATATAAGAACAAAATGTAAGAACTACTTGTATAATTTGTCCATTATATTAACTAATTGATTACCAAAACTGATGCAGTAATCATCGTTACAAAGCTATGTTGCATTGAAATCCTAAGTTGTTCTCATAATTTGAATTACAACATACTTTTGATTGTGTTTTAGTTTAGTTCACTTTAATTTCTACTTCAGTCTAAGCAATTGAAATTCACATTAATTAACCATCTTCTGTGTGTGTGTCAATTTCCGACCACACTGCAATCAAGCACTCAGCTAGAGAACACTGGCAAAATAGATTAAGCCCGAACGACCTGCAACATATGTGCATGGTGTAAGCAAGCCCTAGGCATGATTTTGGTGTAAGCGAGCCCACTTGTTTGGCTGTCCCTTTTGAGGTCCATCAATGTCACTGACCGATAAATTACCTGGAGGTGAGCATAGGTGGTAAGGTCTACAAAGCAACAAAAGGGAGAGTTCTAAAAAGTCCAGTGTTCAATCCTTGTGGTTGGGTAGAAGGATCTCTTTGGGGGATTCTAGACATCTAGTCCAACTACTAATTCATAGAACCTTGTTATAATATTGTATGTTATGTTCCTTGATTTGTTCTGTGTATGGTTGATTGGTTGATCGAAGATATGGGGATGTCTGTTTTTACTGTGCATTCCAAGCTCATGGCTAGGAATAGCAACGGGGCGGGGCAGGGCCGGGGATCACACTCCGTCCCTGATACCCGATGCTCGAATTTTCCTCGGCCCCAGCCCCGATCCCCGACGGGGACTCATAGCCCGGTCCCATCCCCGCCCCTAATCGGGGATCCCCGACCCCGAAAAATCCCCGATTTTTTTTTTTTATCTATAAAAATCTGTAAACATGGATTAAAATATATTTGAGACAATGAAGACAATTAATATGGATTAAAATATATTTGTAAACCTGTAGCATTGCCATACAAAATAACCTGTAGCAATTTTAAAATATATTTAAAATATATTTGACACAATGCCATACAAATCTGTAAACCTGTAGCATTGCCAATTAACATGGATTAAAATAACTTGTAGCATGCCAATTAACCTGTAGCATGCCATACAAAATCTGTAAACATGAATTAAAATACATCCCGTAAACATGGATTAAAATCTGTAAACAATGTCATACACAACCCACACACATCCTGTAGCATACAAAACATTGAGACAGTGTCAACATTAAGACAGTGTCTCAATGCCATACAAAACTCATAAAATAGCATCCTGTTTCTCCAAGAAAATTCAGCAGCCCACACACAAGAAAATGCAACAAGTAGCAAAGAGAATAATTAATCCCAAGCACAACTCGCAAGGGATAGGTTTCCCAAAAAATTGAAATTAAAAAAAAATGTATATATATATCCATTACAACATAAAAATCAAATCCATTGTTTCTCCAATATCCATACAAACCACACAACAACTTCCATCATCTCCTTCAACTTGAATTCCTGTTAAATAACAAAAGGAAAAAAACAAATAATTAATATTAATAAGATTTCTTTCTCTGTTTGAATTGAATTGGGACATTTCTTTCTCTTTTTTCTTTCTTTTAGATGAATGGAATTGAATTGGGACATGTACCAATAAAAAAGGGTTTAAAATGCAAAGGAAATAAGCAAAGGGTTTAAAATGCACGTAAAGAAAAAAAAAACTCATTCTATACAGGATAGAATATACTGACAGTGACAGCAATGATCACAAAATGATAAACCCAATACATCCACACATAGCTGAATTAATGTCGTATAATATTAAACAGCTTTCTACGTGGTTCATAGCAACAAATAGATGGTGAATTTTATACATCCAACAAGAAAGCATAGAGAAAGGTAGCAGGACATAGCCTTACTATCATCACATGATTTAACTAAAGTCAACAATACCTTATCCAAACAATTTGACAGGTTAGTTTGATGAATCATCTTGCAACATATGCATCTAATCCCCTTTCAAGAAAAAAATAAAATAAAACAATTATTCTTCTCTAATATTTTCTTTTTCTCTGGCAACATATGCATCTAATCCCCTTTCACATCCAGTTTATGATGTTCTTCAAAGTAATCTACCTAATCCCCTTTCACATCTAGTTTTTTAACCCAATTTATAGAATGGAATGCCCAAACAACATATATTATTATACACAGGTTACATATCCTAGCAGTTAACAAGCATAAAAGAAAATCCATGTTTGGTATCATCCCTTATCTGCAGCAGTTTAACCACCATTAAGCACACATAAAAGTAATCCAAAAAGGTATTGAAGAGAGAGAGAGAGAGTAATACCCATCTCTAGGTTTCGTTGGGTTGGATCAAGTAAATCTCCTATTTGTTCATTGTATATCTGAGACAGCAAAAGATAAATAAAATCAACATAAATTCTCAATCTGTTCGATTCATGTCACAGACATAAAGAAGTAATACACCTTATATAAAGCAAAAGGCCCAAATATTTAAATAAATAAATAAACACACACAGAATCCAGTCTACACACAACTCATCAAAAAGTTATTACACCGCAAACATACAATCAATTGAATCAATGGCTACTATATTGACTAGAATTTAGAAATACCTGTCCATATGCCAAGATTGTTGTGTTGTAACCAGCTAATGCATTTTTAACTAAAGGAACACCAACTAACTGAAATACATATTCCTGGTAGAAACAAAACAATCAGATTGAAGGTTACATAGATTTGAAGGTTACATAGATCTGTTACACAGATCAGAATCCAAGTTAACAGATCTATATTTTTTTGTTAATATTTGCTGTATTATAAACAGATCAATGAACAGATCTATAAACAGATCTATATATAAAATAGATAGATCTATAAACAGATCTATAGATAAAATAGATAGATCTACAAATTTAGAAGGAAAAAAAAAAAAAACAAACAAAGGTTGAATCTATATATAATATACACTCATATATATATATATAATATACATATATGTGAACCCTAGAACGAAATCCCTAGAGAGAGAGAGAAAGAGAGATACCTAAGGGAGAGAAAGCAGCGGCGGTGAGGGAGAGAAAGCAGCAATGGTGAGGGAGCGACAGAGGAACGGCAGAGGTGAGACGGTAAGGGAGGATCGGTGGCGACGGAGGATCGCCGGTGAGGAGAGAGGTGCGGCGGTGAGAGAAAGAGAGAGGGGGAGACCAAACCAGTGGTGGCGAGCGAGAGCGAGAGAGAGAGAGGAGTCGCGCTGTGTGAGTGAGAGGAGAGGCTGAGTGTGTGTTTGAAACCCTAGACAAACACAAGCATATATATATGCAGGGACAAAATTGTAATTTCACCTCGGGGATTAAGCGGGCCGGGGGCGGGAGTGGGGCCGGGGCCCGGCGGCCGGGGCCGGTTCTGAAACACCTATCCCCGTCCCCGGCCCGGATATCATCGGGGATGAACTTTTGAATACCATCCCCGTCCCCACGGGGGTATTTTTCGGTGAATAACCATTTAATTCGGGGTCGGGGGGACGGGTCACCGTCGGGTCGGTTTCAGATTGCCATCCTTAGATTATCCCCAATTGTCATTGAATGAATCCTTTTGATAGAGTCATTGGAGTTTATGACCAACAGTCATGATTATATTAGGATAAATTATGATAATACTCTCTAAATTTTGGTCACTATCATTTTAGTTAATGTAATTTTAATTGATTCAATTTTGATTTTATATTTGTGATTTTGTCTTAATTTAGTCTAACTGAATACAACTGTTAGCATTTTTTAATGGAAAATATACACATAAGTGGCATGTGTCATTTTTTGGAGCAAAATTATAAGTTTACTTAACTCAATGAGTTAATTTCAATCAATTCAATGATCAATTTTTTAATCGAAAACACTGATGTGTTATTAATTAGATTAAATTGACACAAAATTTAAAATTAATGATCAAATTTGAATCAATTGAAAATATAAGGACAAAATGTAAGAACTACTTATATAATTTGTCCATTATATTAACTAATTGATTACCAAAACTGATGCAGTAATCATCGTTACAAAGCTATGTTGCATTGAAACCCTAAGTTGTTCTCATAATTTGAATTACAACATACTTTTGATTGTGTTTTAGTTTAGTTCACTTTAATTTCTATTTTAGTCTAAGCAATTGAAATTCACATTAATTAACCATCTTCCGTGTGTGTGTCAATTTCCGACCACACTGCAATCAAGCACTCAGCTGGAGAACACTGGCAGAATAGATTAAGCTCGAAACGACCTGCAACAGAAAGAAGAGATTCCGGTAGTAGTTCGTCCACCCGGGGTACTCCGACGATCAAGTCAATTATCTCTCAAAGATAGCAATTAGTGCTTAACTCACTATTCAGGATACAAAAAGCATACCTTAGACCCATGGGGTGCCTCTCTTTTATAGCCAACACTTACCTAATCCCAATAGAAGCCTAGCTTCAATGGACTTAAGATTGCTGCTAATCTTGAACTCCTAGTATGATTGGGATAAACTCTCTAAGAGTCTTATCTTTATCCAAACTGAAGTCCTCTCTCATTCTAGGACTTTTGTCCCTTATTCGCTTATTCTAGATTCCGATATCTTCGCAAATAATCTTGGCCTAGCCGAGATCATCTCGGCGTCATGACTAGGACACGTGGCACCTCGGCTGGCACTTCGGTGACACCTCAGCCACGTGTTTTCATTCAAAAATTATGTCTCCACAACTGCCCCCTAGGTTCTATTACCTCGGCATCCTGAGGTGGTGGAACCTATATCATTCATTCCTTTAATCATGACCTCGATTTAACTTCAGTTTGTAAATTTTTCTTAAAATTTCAACAAGTGTTAAACATGACCTCGGTTTAACTTCAACTTGTAAATTTTTCTTTAAAATTTCAACAAGTGTTAAACATGACCTCAGTTTAACTTCAACTTGTAAATTTTTCTTAAATTTCAACAAGTGTTAAACATGACCTCAGTTTAACTTCAATTTGTAAATTTTTCTCAAATTTCAGCAAGTGTTAAACCGATCTTGGCTTGAAAATTCTAACTCCCAAGCATCATTCTTCATCCCTCTACATGGCTTCCACCTACTCCTTTGTGGACCTTATATAAAAAGTCTTTAACTTAGGCTGAGCTTTTCTCTTCTTGGACTTAATCATCTAGGCCAAGATCTTGTCTTCTGGAATCTGGGATCTGCTCACTTTAGACTGAGCTCTTCTCTTCTTGGACCTAATCATCTAGGCCGAGATCATCTCTTCTGGGATTCTCCATGCCCGACCTTCCGTGAAGGCCGGTGAGAATGTCCCTTGGTCTCGCCATGCTGAGGGACTGCAGGAACCATTTTCTGCCCCCCCCTTTCTGGGCACCTTTCTTGGCCGCTGGAATCGGCGTATCTTGTAGCAGGAACGGTAGTTGCATGACGTTGTTCTGCATCAGGAAATTAACGACCGTTTGCAAGTCCGGCAATTTGTCCACCATTCCCTTCATCTCGTCGTCTCTCCGTAGGTATCTATCTTTCCATACCTGGAGGTCGTCCTCGTTATAATACCCGCTCCGGTCCGATTTCTTCGATACACTGCCCTCTTGGCCGACGTCCTTTTCTCCGTGACTCCTATCACGAGTCTCTTCGTTGCAGTTGTCTTCTTCGACGTCAAGGTCAATATGTTTTCCACTCTCAGTAGGGGTGTTATCCCCAACCTTCTCTTTCTATCCGTCGTTGGCTATCTATTCTCTTTTCATTTTCACAGACGGCACCAAATTATTTGTGTCAATTTTCGACCACACTGCCAATCAAGCACTCAGCTGGAGAACACTGGAAGAATAGATTAAGCCTGAACGACCTGCAACAGAAAGAAGAGATTCCGGCGGTGGTTCGTCCACCCGGGGGAACTCCGATGATCAAGTCGGTTATCTCTCAAAGATAGCAATTAGTGCTTAACTCACTATTCAGGATACAAAAAACATACCTTAGACCCATGGTTGTACCTCTCTTTTATAGCCAACACTTACCTAACCCCAATAGAAGCCTAGCTTCAATAGACTTAGGATTGCTACTAATCTTGGACTCCCAGTAGGATTGGGATAAACTCTCTAAGAGTCTTATCTTTATCCAAACTGAAGTCCTCTCTCATTCTAGGACTCTTGTCTTTTATCCGCTTATCCCGGATTTCGGTATCTTCGCAGATAACTCGGCCTAGCCGAGATCATCTTGGCGTCATGACCAGGACACGTGGCACCTCAGCCGACACTTCGGTGACACCTCGGCCGACACTTCGGTGACACCTCGGCCACGTGTTGTAATTCAAAAATTATGTCCCCACATTCCGAATTGACACAACTTAGCTCCTTAGTCCGCTAAGTTACAATATTGGAACTTAAACAATTACTCTCTACAAATAAGGGTTCAGTATAGTTTTAATTTAAATTCTGATTTTTCCAAATTAACCAATATGCCCACGATATTTGTTGTATGGATCCATACATAAGAGGAAAAACAAATTTTGTTTTCCTTTTCAAAATATAGAACGTCATAAGTGTCATTTGCAAATCAAATTGAAATATTATAAAATAAATATTTAAATTTTCATTTCTAACTTTAATTGATGAATTAAGAAAAAAATTCCAAGTATGACCCTATTTAAAATTTGCCTTCATTAGACCAAAATTCTCTATTTGCTCGGATAATCATGCTATAAGACCATCTCCAATGCTCCATCAGATTTAGCATCAGATTTGAATTTGATGAAAAAAAAGTCACTTTTTCTCTCTTCAATGGTTTCACCAAACTGATATCAAATTGAGAGCGGAGAAATTTTTTTACCAGATTGAGAAACTGGATCAATTTCACCAAAACACTGTTAGTATATATTGGAGGTGGGGGCACCGAACAACCGGCCGAACATCCAGCCAGTTGTCCCACTAGTAGTTCCATTTCTTCTCTTTCTTCACCTTTCTTTCTTCCAATATATTAAGCTTCAAGGATTACCCCTTTCTCTGAAACAAATTACAGGGTGTTTCCATCATAAATCCATAGCCTCCTCTCTCTCTCTCTCTCTCTCTCTCTCTATCTCTCTCTCTCTCTCTATATATATATATATACACACATAGATATATATAAACTCACATGGGTTTTTTGGTTTTTGATGGCGGAGAGCAAAAGGTGCACCTTTCTTCACACCCAAGTAAACATGGAGCCTCATTGTTTTTGTTTTTTTAATTTTTTTTTATTCTTCTTTTCACTGTTTCTGTATTCAATTCAATCTTTTTTTTGTTGTACTCCATGGAGACCACAAAAGAAAAAGGAAAAATAAAAGGCAATTTTTGTCTGTGAACAAGACATTGATTGAGATATTCAGGAGATGTCCACAGATAATAGAGAGAAATCAAATTTTCAGAATAGTAACCGGTCAACCGGCCGGTCGATCGGCCGGTCGTCTCACCAGATGTTTCCATTGTTTTGATGCACGCTACAGTGCAACGGTTGGAGTTGCTCCTATCAAATTGAGAAATTTTTTTTTTTTTTCTTAAATTTAGTGAAAAATTTACTAAACTATTGAAGATGCTTTAAGTATATATAAAAGATGGGACATGTGGCTTGTTTGATGTAATATTTTTTGTATTTATAAATTTTTTTCTCAATATATATCCTACTATAAATAAGAGGCATTTAGATACAACTACAGTGGAGGACTCTCTTTTCTTTCTTTCTATTTTGCCTTTTTATGTTTTGTCCGGTTATATATATATATATATATATATTTGGTTAAGTTTAAAAATGATATTTTAGTTCATTCTAATTTGATTTCATTTTCAATTTGTTGTCATACCTAACAATCTACATCTAGGTACAATCATTGCATTTAGATAATTTCAATGTATATAAAATCAAAAAGTCATATTTAGTCCCTCGTGTAGTGCGAAGGAATGGTACTGCAGTAGAAAATTGTTTGGTTTACTGTTGGAGTTGTGATTTTAAAAAAATAAAAAAAAAATTATATTTTTTTAAACTCATAATTAAATATATAATTCAAAATTATTTTTCAAAATACATTATTATACATATAATTCAAAACTCAATTCAAATTTTTTCCTATAATTTAAAACTCAATTCAAATTTTTTTTCAAAACTTATAATCAAACTCTTTTCAAAAAATATTTTTTTTATTTTTTTCCTTAAAATTATTTTTTATTTTACAATTTTTTCAAAAACATATTTTGTTTATTTTTATTTTTGAAGCCAAATATTTTTTTTATTTTTTTTTCAATCTTTT